AGAAGTTTTTATCATTCTACGATGAGCTGGATCATCTACTTAGATAGTATATATTTTAATTTGGCTATATTTTTTTTTATCTCGAATAGCTTCTTTTTCGTAAAATGCAATTAGATCTTCTTGGCCCCAGCCTTCTCGTGATAAATCACTCAAAGGCAGAATTAGTTTGCTAACCAAATTATTTTTTTTCGAGCTTGCAAGAAAAAAAGAGCCCTCTGAGCCTGGCTCAGACAGAATTGGTTCGGCCCTTTGATCTTTGATTCCACCTTCCTTGTCAAAGTCGAAAGGCGGAATTGATTTGTTATCTAAAAAAAAAGTGTGAATCTATTGGCAGATGAACCCTTCTCCAAATTTGATATACTCGTCGTATTGAAATTTTGTATTTATTAGCCATAACTTCTGGTGTCCGCTTCATTGAATTTTTGGCTTTAATAATATCCTGAATATTTTCAGTAGATAGGGGAGTGGCATCTGAACATAAATATCGAAGCATTTTTTATAGATAAACAAAAAAAATTTTCAAAAAATTATCGGTATTTTTTCGATATATTTTTGGTATTTTTTGGTATTATCAATATATTTCGATATTATCGATATATTTTCGGTATTATTGATATATTTTCAGTATTATCGATATTTTTTCTCACAAGCTCATTTTTTCTCGCAAGCTCAAAAAAAACAAAAATAAAAATGCTTCTGCCTTCTTGCGATGTTATTGCAAGAAGCCAGATATTCCGGTAATCCAAATATTTCTTTTTTCAAATTTATTCAAAAAAAGAATATATTTTATTTTTTTTCCGCTTTTTTTCTCATTTCATTCGAAAAAAAAAATTTTGCGACTTCGAGTGATTTATCATGAGAAGGCATAATGAAATGAGAAAATGGGAGCTTAAAGAAAAATTATATTCTGCACTTAGATCTAAAGCCGAAATTAATAATCTTAGTAAGAAGTTGCTAACTAAGTATTTAGAGCAAGAGAAAGAGCTTCAGCATCTTCGAGTGATGAAATTGCTCGAAGCCAGATATATAGGTAATCCGAATATAACTTTTTTCGAATTTATGAGAAAAAAGCAGGTAAGGCTTTACGAGAAAGCAGATAGTATTTATTATTTTAAGCTTGCTCCTTGATCCTTTTTTTCTTAGCTCTTAATTGGAAATTACTTTTTTTTCGCAAGCTCAAAAAAAGATATATAGTTAACTAATATATTAAAAAACCTGATAACTAACTATATCTGG